TCCTATGGTTGCTGTCCTTACTCTGCCTTATGGATGAGAAGATAGGGGCTCTGAGAAATTTAATAACCTCCTTCCCTGGTGCTGGCTGATTGACACACTATTCAACAAATGCCACTCAGGATCTATTCAAGGGGTTAGGAGATATAACTGCCTTCGTTGTGATCAAGGTCTGTACTTTATTCTAGTGGCAGAAAGCAGACAGTCTCCTAATATACAGGATGCTGTCTGAAAATGGTAAGTAATAAAATGAAAGAACTATCCACAGCAGTGACAGTTACCAGTCCACTTAGGGGAGCAAAGGCTTGTTGCAGAGGTGACAGTTAAATAGAGTCTGGACAAGAAGCAGGATTGATTCATTAAAGAGAGGAAGGCAGAATGTTTCAGGCAGGAGGCACCGTGAGTGCAAAGGCCCTGAGGCAGGAGTAGGCTTTATATCCAGCTAATAGCAGGGTTGCCAGAGAGCTTGAGGGTAGAAGATGAGAGCAGAGAGGTTGTGTGGGTTCAGATCACACTGAGCTTTGTGGGTATGACACAGAAATTAGCCTTCACTCTGATTCAGAGGGGAAGCAATTAGACTCTCAGAGCCAAGACAACCCGGGATCTGTTTGGAACTGCTTCTTTTGTAAAAATAATAGATTTCACTGAACTCGATGTATCCAAAATATTATCCTCTCAATCAATATAAAATTATTTAGTTTCCATGATACTTTTAATACTAGGCTTTGAAATCCAATACATATTTTTTCCAGTTAGAGCATCTCATGGACGAGTCACAGTGCTCAGAAGTCACATTTGGCCACCGGCCACTGTATTGGTGATATGAGAGCCAGTCTAACAAGACAGCCCTTCCTTCATCTGACCTCATCAAGGCCAGAGGTGAAGGCCTGCAGAAGCACCAATCTACATCCATCCACCGGAAAGTCCAAGGTCTACGGAGTGTTTGTTTCTGAGTTCCTCATCTAACTAGAGGGCTGTTGGTCATTAGCCAAGGCTGCAGCACTGGAGACAAGCACAACCAGAAGACCCAGGACTCCAAGTTCTAAAACAAGTTTTTTGACAAAAGTATAACTTGTGCTCAGGTCAGTTGCAGGAATACTTGAGCAATTGGAGTGGGAGATGGAGGGGTGAGAAGATACCAGGTCTGATCTGATAGACCAGATCTGGAGGGTGAGAGAGAGACATAAGCTGAGGACCACCACCCCAAGGCTCTGGCTTGAGAAATCAAAAGAAGATGAGGCATGGCTGAGGGAGGAATTTAATGATCCATTTAATCACCTGAAGAGTGAGATGTTGACAGGTCCCCCATGGGAGATCTGGAGTTGGTTGACTGCTGGATAGATATGAGTTCAGTTAGACAAACAGAAGAGTGATAGACATGTATATCTCTGAGTTATCAGGATATGATTCCCTCATGACAGTGTGACAAACAGAAGGGAGGAGGGCTCAAGGTCAGAGCAAATGGGGAAGGAAGAGGGCAGAGTAGTCCTGGAGTGCTCAGTCCGCATGGTGCAGGTTGGTGAGGGGTAAAGTGAGGCAATGGCAGGGAAGGTAAAGGAATGAGAACTTGTCCTGGAGCCCATGCAGAGACGGTGTTGGAGAGATGAGGGCACTGACCGTGACCATCAGGATCAACAGCTGTGAAGAGGTCAGGTCAAACCAGAACTGAGAACTGGCCCATGAACCTGGGAGAGGAAGGCACTGAGCTGCTTGATGACATCAGTTTGTGCTTACAGCTACAGTAGACTCTACACAACAACACCTTAGTGCTCCTGGTTTCTCACTTTGGCATAGACACACTTGTGATGCACTTGCTCAGACTCCCTTCATCTCCTTCAGTTCCTAGCTGTCTTCACCATGGAACATCCCAATCTCTGGTCTGCTTTGGGTCAACTCCCAAAGCATTTGCCTTGCTTCAGAATTAGTCAGTATTAATAGAAATGTACTATGTCAACTCAGAATAAGACCAACCATGATACAAAAGTGTGGTCTTTTATCACTGCCAGATCTAAAGGTAGCACACACACAAATCTCTGAATAAGAACATCCCCACATGGCCATCTGAAAACAAACTCGGAGTGTCGTGGGTTGATAAGGAGCACACAGCAGTGCCGTGTGGGGAGAAGGTGATCTGGCTCTGGGCCCAGCTCTGCTGCTGAGAGAGGTCTGACCTTGAGCAAAGCCCCTCATACTTCCAGGGCCTAGTCTTTTCACCTATGCATTGAACAGACTGTATCCTGCTGTCCCCAGACTCCTCCCACCCATCTTGGTTCATTCTTGGGTGAGAAGCTAAGGAGTGGATTTAGGAGTTACTGTGTTCTTTCTACTTACTGCTTTGCCTCAAGCAATGGGTCGTTGGGGATTCATAGTAAGTATGTTTGGATTTAAGAGCTCTTAAGAGATGACTGTTCTGTGCTCTATGAATGTTCACTGGCCTGGGCATGACAGTCTCCCTCACCTGCTGTCTCCTCTTTCCTACCATTCAAGCTTCCCTCCAATCAGAATAGCTGTGTATGCATATTCCCTTGAACTACAGAGGTTCACAACCCAACTGTACTGCCAGTTTGATGCCTCTTGATCCTGCTGAGTTGAAGAAAAAATGATGTATGATCTAAAGACCAAACCAAAATATTGGAACCCTCTCAGAAATTCTAGTGAGGAAACTAAGGTACTTTTAGAAAGTGGTAGATATATCTGATTGTGGAGCTTTGTGTGTGCCGAGCTTAGACTTTGTGCTTGGTAGTACTAATCTATCATGCCCAGGGCATCTTGGAGGGGACGGAGAGTTAGAAAAGGGAAACAGTACACACATTGGAGGTAAGGGCCTAAGTCAGGAAGGAGAGAAGTGATGGGACCATGCCTGTGGGCCTGTACTTGGATGGCTCCTTTGTGAGAGATGGTCTTCAGGAAATTCTCTCTGCTTTATAGTATCTTCCCTATACTAGAGACATGTAGGGGGCAGGAAGTTAGGGTGAGGCAGAGACAGAGGCACATATCCTACGACAGTGTGGAGAGTGCTGCCTCAAGGAAGGAACAGGCAGAGAACAGGACAGGGCTAGGTTTCCCCCTCCCTCCACTCTTCACCTGGCTCTTCACTACACCAGTGGCTTCCTTTCTCTTAGTTTCTGGGCAGAGTCTTTCCTCCTTTAACTGGGAGGGTAGCTTTGGGTTCATTAGCCACATCCCTAAACCCAGAGACCCTGCTCTTATGGAGGGATCTGTTCTACAGGGCTCTCTCCTGAGTTCTAGCCACTGTTCTCTCCTTCAGTCTTAGGCCTCCCTCGCCTCAGCCAGGCCTCTGTAATTAGCTCCTCTCTCCCAGTTAGTATGCTTCTTTCAATTCTTGTTGGGACCCTCCCTCACTAATATGCCCAGTCTATTGACATATGAATTTTTAAAAATATTTTTTGAAAGTGCCACACATTCATACAGTATATATTGATCACAGTTCTTTGAGATTTCTTGTCTTACTAGACTGTGGACTCTTCAATGAGAAATTATTTTTGTTAATCTTAGTTCATTTTTTTAAACTGCTCTCTAGTACAGTTTCTATTCAATAATTTATTAGCTAAAAGATGTGACTTTCTTCTTAGCGACAGCGTTTCTTTTGACCCTAGCTTGTCATATAAAACCTGTCTAGAATATTCTATTCTCAGTCCATACTTGTCCCAGGACCACCCAGGGAAGGCAGCAGCTCCGTTTCCCCTTTGCTTTCTGGCATTTTTCACTTCACCATTTTCTGAACCGTACGGGCAAATGTTCCCACAAAAGCATTTCCTGCCCAGTGCTCTGAAGTTTATAGTTTCACACTGATGTCTGATACATGTGGGTCTCAGAAAAGATCCTAAATATATATCTGCCATAATTTCCAAGATTGCAAAATAAAGATAAAAACTGCACAGGGTTTCTAGGAGAATAAAAACAAATGCACTGTTCTGTGAAATTCATTGTGTTTCCATGAGTAACATCAGTGTGGATGAACAAACTTTCTCCACCTCTGTCCTACATTGGCTAGTATCTAAGGTAAACATTTCATTAAAATTCTGAGCAGAATTGTAGCTTCCTGAACACTTGCTCCCTGCCAGGACTAACCTAAGCACTGTGTATGCTACCTCATAGTAGAACTGTATGTGGTGAAACTTGTCCTGTCCCCTTGCTTTGTAGATGAGAAAAAATAAAGGCATGGGGAAAAATAATATACTTGAATTTCTACTCAGCCCTAATCTTATCTTTGAGGCCAGATCTTCCTCTTCAGCTTAGCTAGCCAAGACTGGTTGGATCTAAGATGGCTGCCAGAGCGATGATCAAAAAACTTCTAATTTCATCATAATCTAAGTTGCATATTTGTAACACACCTACTAGCTGCTGTGACGGGAAGCACCAGACCATAAAAGGAGGGAAAAGGAACTCTCCGTCTATTACAGGAAAAGTCACAGTATTGCTCCCCTTTATCAGTCTAATTTTTATAACCCTATATCTATGACTTCCTCACCCCAAAGAGAGTACAAAAGTGGTATTTGATCCTAGACTCCTGGTTCTCCATTCTCTGGCCAACGGGTAGACCTGTGCTGTTGGCCCTCAGCCTTATGATACCCAGAGGGAAAAAAACTCTACTTTGGGAAGCTGAGGAGAGTTTGACTCAATTCTTTCACTCCACAGTCTCACTCCTGCACAATTCCTACAACATTCTGTAAAGACAAATCAGACAGATGGCAACTGGCTACAAAGAATGTCAAATACTAAATTGAAAATTTGTATACTTGTTAAAAGTTCTTGTGAGTTATAGTTACCCTCAGGTATTGTACTCCAAAATTCAAACTAAATCCACTAGGTTTGGAGAACAAAATCGATTTTTTTTTTTTTTTTATTGAGCCAGAATATAGGTTGCCCAGGCTGGTCTGAACTCTAGGACTCAAGCAACCCACCGGCCTCTGGCTCTGGTGGAACGTTCTCAACACCTCAGCGGAATTGAGAACACTAATGTTCTCTGGAGAGAGACTCACCTGAACTTAATGCATGCTCCACTTCCTGCATGATCAGAAGAGGGGTGGTGGTTTCAGATTCACAGATCACTTTGCCTGGCTCAGTGTCTTGGGGTGTTTTCTCCTTGGGCACGGGCTCAGCTGTGTCATGGGAAGTAGATATGTGACCAGAGCTGTGCCCCTCTGTTAGAGACTCGGGTGCTGTGGGGGCTTCTGTGGGCTGGGTGCTGGTCACAGTGGAGCTGTGGTCAGAGGTGACAGAGGCAGAAAGAACTTCAGGTGGGGAAGTGGCTGGGGATGAGGAGGATGAGACTGGAGCCTGTGAGGTGATGAGCATGGGGGACTGTGACCCGGCAGCTGGTACGCTTGCTTCAGGACCGTCCAGGCTGTGGTCTTCAGATGTCGGTGTCAAGTGGACACCATCGCTTGTAAAGAACCCTGCAGGTGAGGGGTCTGTGTTGGTGCCTTCCAAATTCAAAGCTGGGCTGGTAACAGCTTCTCTGGGCTCAGTGGAAATGTTCTTGGCCAGCAGAGATGTCGGGGCTGCAGCAGTAGTGGGGAGGACTGAGGCATTGTGAGTGCCACTGGCTGTGGGGGTGATGGCCTTGGCAGTGTGCTGTGCAGAGCTAGTCCAGATGGCTGTAGGTGTAGGTTTTGCCGCAAGAGAAACAGGCAAGGGGGCTGACGTTGGTGCACTCTGTATCCTCAGTCCTATGAAAGAGACAGGACAAAAGACAGTTAATGCATGAAACCCACATAAATGTCAAATAGAGGCAGGCTGTTACCCTGAAACTGCTGTGGAGTGTGGTTCAGGGTATGTCTCATTTTGCACTGTATAGATGTCACTGAATTGTGAAGGACTTTTTAAAATCTGCCCTTCTCACTGACTGCTCTCCTTGCTTTGTGACTATTGGGATGGACGAGCCTGAAGGCCCCCTAAAAACAGTTAGTGGGTCAGTCAACTCAAGACTGCAACCGATGGAATGGGCTAATGTCCCCTGCTCACTTAAGTCACCCTCCTTAGAAGGTGAGACCCTTTTCTGAAACTTACTGTATTTGTTTGCATGACTGGTGTCATCTCACAACACCTTTTGGGCGGAGATTCTCAGGGGACGTTCCGGGAGAATAGTAGACGAAGTTGCTGATGTCCCAGATGAGTGGTGGGAGGAGGGCAGAGTAACAGAGGGCTCTCAGCCTGTCCCGCCGCCCCCACCCCAACTGCAAGGCGGGAAGGGCCAGGAGAGCCTGCCCCCTGCCTCTGTCCTTTCTTCACGTATGCATCAGGGGGAGAGCTTGGTGGCTGCCTTGCATTCACATGTGAGCACATTTGTTTCTTTTTAAAATATTTTATTTATTATTTTTACTTTATGTGTATGAGTGTATTGCCTGCATGTTTGTAAGTGCACCCATGTCATGCAATGTCCGAGGAGGTCAGAAGAGGGCGTTGGATACCCTGGAACTGGATTTATGGATGGTTGTTTACTGCTACACTGGTGCTGGAAATTGAACCCAGGTCTTCTGCAAGAGCAGCCAGTGCTCTTAACTGCTGAGCCATCTCTCCAGCTCCATGAGCACAATTCTTATGGAAGAAAGACAGGGAGGTCCCAGAGTAAAGACTAGGAGTCATCTGAGGTTTGGAAATATTTTCTGACACTGGAACTTTAGCTTAGTGCTTGTATAACCATGATTTTGCCATATTTTTCCTTCATGTTTTGTAAAATTTAGATCTAGTTTCTGCCTTCATCCACTTTCCTTTGTTCAATTTCTCCCTTTGCTCACTCACTTTCTTCATTAATTGTTTAACAAATAAATTCTTCATGCCAGGGCTCTGGTAGACACGGAGTTTCTAGTTTCATGTCCTCTGTGACATCTCTTGATTTCCTTTCTGTACGCTTTGTCATTCTCCAACCAGCTTTGCCCTTGGTCATTTCTGTCTTAGTAGATGGGATCCCCATTCACAAAGTTGCCACAAAATGGAGACATCATCAGTCACACACCTCTGTCCCTTACACACCATATCAAGTCCTTCAGTGAGTTACTTCTTTAAACCAAAGCCACATCCAAGTCCCTTCCCCCTCCATCATTTCAATATCCCCAAGTTGCTCGTCACTAGCTGGCTGACGGCAGGAGTTTCTTAAATGTCCCTCTGGCTCCTGAGTTTCTCCTCAAAGAATACTTTTCACATACAGCCAGGAAGATCTTTTAGATGATAAAGCAGGTCATTATTTTTTAACTGATCAAGACACTTCAAAAGTGTTCTGTTGTACTTAGATCAAAGTCCAGAAATGTACTGTGTCATCTTATGCCTCTCGTTATGACTGGTCTCACTCAAAATCATCTCTTCCTCAGAAGAGACTTCCCAGATCATTCTAATTAAAACTACTTTCACTTCAGTCCCTTGTTCATTTCTTTAAAGAGCAAAAAAAATAGTGTGGTAAAAATCACACCTAACATCTACCGTTTTAACAATGTTTACATGTACAGTTCAGTGGCATTAAGTTTAGTCATATTGTTTCACAAGTGTCACCACTCATCTCTAGAGCTTTTTCATTTCCTCAGACTCAGATTCTCATTAAAGAACTCATTCCTCATTCTGTGCAGCCTGTGAAAAACGTATTCTGTATTCTCTATGAATTTGATGATGTAGAGGTACCATAAAAGTTCACCCATCTAAGCTTTGTCCTTTTATCACTGGTTTATTTCACTTAGCTCAATGCCTTCAAATTTCACCCATGTAATAGCAGGTGTTTGAGTGACCCATCTCCCATTATCTCTATACCACACTGTGTTTGTCCGCTTATCATCCATGAACACTTGGGCTGCTCTGGTCTTTTGGCCATTGGAAAGGCTGCTGATTTGAACATGAATGCACGGGTAGATATCTGCTTGTGCCCTTGCTTTTCAGTTCCTTTGGGTAGATGCCCAGAAGTGAAACTGATGGGTTATAAGGTAAATGTGTTTTATTTGTGGAACTGACATGCTTTTCACTTGTTTTGTTTTTCAAACTTGCATCTCCTTTTAAAGTTCCCAGTCATCATTTATTTATCATTTATCATTTCTCTCAGAATGTAGATTCACCGAGAGCACAAAGACAAGGCATTATTTGTTGTTGTTTCTCCTAAGGACAGTATCTCCGTCACATGAAATAAATAAGCACTTGTAGCTGGCAGACAGGAAAGGAGAAAGGCAAGCAGGAATGAATGAATGCTTAAAAGCTTTTTTCATGAGTACTCCAACGCCTTTCCCATCTGTTGTGCAGGTCGTTAGCCATGGCCATATTCAGCAAAGCTTCTTCAAGGAGGGCTTCCTGCCTGCTGTTTGAAGGCAACATCCTTGCCTCACTCTGTGACTCCCCCACGACGTATGCCTATGACTGATGTTTTGTTAGGGCCTGAACTGTTTAACCTCTCATACCCTGAGAAGATTTCCTTTGAGGAAACACAAAGGGAAAGGCTAATCATTGGCAGGTTTCAGAAGGGTCAGAACACTGGCCAGAAACTAGCACAGAAGAGGGAGAAAAGACCAAAGTGGAGGGGTTCAGAACTGTAGATAGATCTGCTCCTTTATCATCATGCCATGGGACAGATTCAGGGGCTAATGGAACGTGTGTTGGTCAGAGGCTAGACTCACTGGTAGAGCACTTATAACATGTACATGTAAGGCACTGTGTTCAGAGACCAGGACAGAAATAAAAAAGTTCTAAAAGAAGTGGTTATGAGTGTGGACTACAACATGGTTATTTCCTTAGTAAACAAGAGGAAAGACTCCCACCATAGGTCACACAGTATTCTACGCTGTCATGGTGTCTTTAGCAGCTGTTAACTGTCCACAGTTTCAGGATGCATACAAATCAAGAAATCCTTGAAATATGAACAAAATCACAGTTGAGACAGATACTAGTAAAACAGGATCTTTATGTGTGACCTCCGGGGCTTACTGGCTCTGTATTCTGGCAGCTCCCATAGCTGAGTAAAGATTCTGAGTAAAGATTCTGAGTAAAGATTCTGAGTAAAGATTCTGATCACACAAGGGCAGATGGAGACAGACTGCCTCAGTCTGGAAACCAAGTCAACCAATCTCTAGATGTCTGAGATAAATGAGAATCCACTAAAGAAGTACTAATTCATTCATTCATTCATTCATTCATCCATCCATTTCAGCATTTGCTGAGTAGTTTCTCTATGTATGCCTTGGCCTTCAGTGTCTAGCCAGGATGAAACAATATCCAACTTCCTATAACATGATGTGGTAAGTGCTTTATGAAAGTAAAACCAAATTTCAGCAGAGGCCTCAAGGAAAGATTAATAAATTCTGTAAGGGCACTACAGAATGCAAAAATACACAAATGTCATCTTCAAATGACATTTAGAAAAGTCCTTTGACATTTGAGTTGGCTCTAAAAGGATAAGAATGTACATGATGCTGCCTAAGATATACATTGTTCATGGTGACACTTGCATTGTCGTATCCAGTGGAGCTAAAAGCTGTTCTACCAAGACCGTTAGAGTGCTAAAAATGACATATTCCAAGCATTGTTTTGTTGCTGGGGACTTCCACTTCCTTTTGTAATCCTTACTAATATACTTTTATTACCCCCTGCCTGCTTCCAAGGTGGACAGGAGGTGGCCATTCATTTCCCATGGCTACCTACTGAGTACTTATTTAAAGTACTTTACTGTCCGGCTGTGGAAATATCTACTCTTAACAAAGCAGTAGTGTATGAAATTGTGTGACAGTGCTGGTTACCATCACCTGGATACGGCATTAACAACCTCAGCTTTGCTATATTTGATGGTCCATACCCCACTGCTATGCCTGCCAGAGGACAGATCGTCCAGCATGGAGACAGCCCAGGCAGCGGTGCCAGCCATGACTATCTGACACTACCCGTTGTTTGCTGGGGTAGCTATAACTAAATACCACAGACTGGGTGCTTTAACAATATTTATCACAGTTCTAGAGGGTGGAACGTCCAACAGAGGGTGGAACATCCAACATTAAAGTACCAGTCAACTCAGTTTCTTGTGAGAACCTGCTTCCTGGTATGTAGATGACTCTAACTAGCTGT